TTGGAAAGGACTATGCTGCCACTGCGGAAGGGTGATTTAGATTGGATAAATAAATCGTTCAGTCGAGTCGGACCTTTTAGTGAATCTGTTGAACAGTCTGAACGATTCGTTCTGAGTAAACAACTTGGCTGAACTGAAAATCGTCTCTTTCGAACATTTATTTTAGAACGTCCGAATTAGTTAGCATAATTTAATAATTTAGTTAGGCAAGGGGGAAAAACAACCAAGAGATTTATTATTGTTTAATGTAAATGTAAATTATATACTTGGGTTCAAGATGAAATTACAATAAACACATTAACTGTTAATTAAACACTACACTTTTTTAATAAAACGGTAATAAACAATGTGTGCTTATATGTTCATTGGAAAGTTTTAGAACATGTAATATCGAAGCAGAATCGTGGAATAATCTTTAACCGGTTCTTTGAAATGAACCGTTCTAAGGCTCCGGATGGGTAACCTTTATTTTGAAATGACTCTTTTAACGCAGAGTCGTTTCCGTTTCCAAGTCAACCTATTTGACATGCATGCATGCATTGTAGTGTAGTTAGTTGTTATGGTACGTTTATCCGTTAAAATATCACAATAACATGGGTATTTGAGTAAATAACATTAAATTATTTCATGCGGTTGTGGTCACTATATAACGTTAGTCCATTTATTGAGTGTTGAACTGGACATGTTAAATTATAACTAGCTTGCTAGCTAATAACCTTCCTAAGTAACGTTAGCGTTCAAGTCAACGCCAGTCTGTGTAATCATGGCAGGACTGTATCGAGCTCTTCTAACATCTGCCTCCAGTGTCACAAAGGTGAGATTCTTTCACATTTCATCATGGTAATTGATTTGATAACCATGTCAAAAAAAGTGTTTAATGAGACCTTTTTTTAAAGCTGTCATTGCAGAATCTGACACAAGCCACATCATGTCGCACTAAATTCACTAAGAGTCGCATCCCTCCACAGGTATATGACGGTTCAAATGTACTTGCATCGTTTTATTCGATTAATTATATTGAACTTAATGACATCACACCATATTTTCGTCCTTCAGGTATTTGAGGAACGAGCAAAAGAACATGACAAGTTTGGTGGTGATCCAGAACACCCACATAAACTGCATATAGTGACACGAGTTAAAAGCACAATGAGACGACCCTATTGGGAAAAGAAGGTTGTGAAGAGTTTGGGGCTTATGAAGGTGGGATGTGATCATCTTTTTGTAAAATTACAGTATTCTAATAAGAAAGGATCAAATTTAAGTGAAATATTATTCAATACATGTTCTTTATCACCAGGCACATGAACCCCGTATCCACAAGAACACCTCATCAGTGAACAATCTACTGAAAATCATTAAGCATCTAGTTCGGTAAGCTGGACTTGCACATTTAAATCAGTTTAACATGATTGCTGACCATTAGAATAAACATATTAAAATAATATCTTTATCTGCAGGATTGAGCCTCTCAAGCTTCCCTATGGATTGCCTGCTGAAGAGGACATGGCTAACACATATCTGAATAGCAAAGGCGAGCTGGTGGTGAAACGTCTCCTCAAACCACTTGAGCAAAAAGCCATCGAGTCATAGAATTTTTGTGGCCTACCATTTGTGCTGTGTTTTTGTTGTTTAATAAAGATTTGAATAGCAGTCTTCTTTACTGTAGCTCAAACAGTAGAGCATTCCCAGGGAACGCAAGAACTGATCAAATGTAAATGTGTACTTCAAATTAAATGTAAGATGCTCTGGATAATAGTGACAGCCAATTGCATGAATGTAAAATGTAAATTACTAGATCTTTGTCTTCTACAAAACATCAGTCACTCAGGTGATGTAATATTTAAATCACTAATATGTTCAGTGAGACAAAAAATTATTCATTGACATGAACAAAACAGCCATATTATATAATTTTTTTAATAAGTCATGTACTGCTATAAAAGGAAGAAAATGCACATCCTTCACATCAATGGGAGAAAGAGGTGGAAATTCTTAGTGGAATACAGAAGTTTGCTTCCTTGGCACTTGTTCAATGCTCACTGATCGGACATCTGAGCATTATCAGAGGCAAAAATAATGAGTTTGTGTTTGCACCATTGTTTAAATGCGTCTGATTCTTCTGTCTTGCAAAAACTCAATCTTCCTTAGATGATAAATCAGCACTAAAGACAGAACCTTCACCAGAATTATGTTCCATAGAAAAGTTTCGCTTCTGTACATTAAAACCTAAAGAGATATGAAATGAAGTATAAATACACTATCAGGTGGTATTCAGTCATCTTAAAATGGGCAAACATAAGACAAAGGTGAAAGAGAAGAAATTAAATAGACACTGCAAAAATACAAACAAAAAAGTGACCACAAAGTGGTGTTACAAGATTTAGGACTGTTATGTTGGAAGCCCTGAGAAAGACGGAGCTTTATAGTCCTCTAATCTTCATCAGATTCTGAGTCCGAGTCATAACCTTTGCCTCTGGTAAAATGGGCAAACATAAGACAAAGGTGAAAGAGAAGAAATTAAATAGACACTGCAAAAATACAAACAAAAAAGTGACCACAAAGTGGTGTTACAAGATTTAGGACTGTTATGTTGGAAGCCCTGAGAAAGACGGAGCTTTATAGTCCTCTAATCTTCATCAGATTCTGAGTCCGAGTCATAACCTTTGCCTCTGATGGTCTTTTTCTCCACCTTGGTGAACTTTGACCCTGACTTCTGTCCAATAGTTGGTGGCTCCAATAGATTCCCACTATAGAAGGAAAAAAGACAGAAAAGTGTGTTTGTGTATAAAAAATGTAAAAGTGGTTTTAATAAAAAATAAATGTAAAGAAATTAATACTTTTATTCAGCAAGGAAGGTAAAGAAATTTACATGATAAAATTTTTTTTTTTTTAAATGCTGTTCTTTTTAAATCTCTATTCATTAAAGTATCCTGAAAAAAA